CAGCAAGAGCACGAGGCATTGCTTTTAGTTTGCCGTTTGTTTTTCACAGAGATGGATGCCTGAGCAGAGCAGCWGCTGGAGGAAGATTTCTCTTATGCTGTCATGACAGATCTCATCTATGAGCCTTCAAGCCCCATTCACCTCACATGCAAAAAGCAACAGCTTGTAGCACCTTTGTCTTCTCTCCCAAGACCACAGTGGCAGAGCCACCTTCTCTTCATTACTCCAGGGCACCTCTGACAAGGGAAGACATAGGTACAGTAACAACCTAATTTATTCAAACAGCAAGTGGCTTTCACAGGCACACAAAGCTGCTGCTTGCTGGAAAGTTTTCAATTACTTTCCAGCACAGTAATTTTCTCCACATCAATTCATGCTCCAAACCACCAGTGGACCGTTTGTACAGTCATATCTTTAAATCAAGATACCTTCAGCCAGCCTGGCTGCTCAAAAAGGCTAGAGAACAATAAGTCTAATATTTAGCATCAATCTTGTGTTTGGCTGATTGTTCAATTTGTCAGATTCAGAGTTTTTGTAGGTATCGCAGGAAGCACCTGCCTGCCAGGCTCCTGTAATCATGGCCTATTTCCTCTGAACCAGACAAACTCTCCCCAGAAGAAGGTCCATGAATAATCACTGGGTATTGAGTTATGAGCAGGAAGTGTACTTGGTGCTGTAGCCTGTTCTAAAAAACTTGTGACCAGGGAACAGTACAAGCCCTTTGATCTGGGACAACTATGGGAAGCGACAGTGGGATTGCTGAACCTGTCAGACTGGACAGAGGTTGTGCTTCCAACACAYGCTCCTTTTATGTACCTGGTGTGTACAGCTGCTCGCCTGCCTGTAAATTACAGGTGTTGAAAGGGGACACGAGCAGGGAACAATCCCTGTGCCCTGTCAGTGCCTGTGCTGTGGGGTGAGGCAGCACAGAAAGGGCAAGGAGTGTCAGCACWCTGACAAGCAGTAGATTTCCGTAATCCTCAGGCACCTTTCTGAACTAGATGATCCCTCTCCTGGCAAATTCCAGGTCTTTCAGTATCACATGGACACATCTTACTTGGCAGCCATGGAGATTAGTTGTGCTGTATTTTTCCATTTCTGATTAACAAACTGACAAAATGCTATTATAACCCAGGGTACTTGGGAACAGGGTTGTCTGCAAGCCAAGAAAGCAATTATTTGTTCCAAGCTGGCCATCCTAGGTCTCTGTAATATTTTTATGCATCTTATTGTCATGACTGACAATACAAAGATTACTTTTCAAGACTCCTACCCACTGAACTTATCCAACCAGTACAAGCAGACCTTTCTGGAAGTACCCTTTGTCAAGGGAAAAAAGAGAAAGTTGGGTTACTCCCTTGATTTATCAGAATTCATAGATGACCTTTAACAAGAATTTAGTATAAGCCTTACTGGTCATTTACCAGGAAAACAACAAAAGGCAGTCTTTATTTTTAGAGTCCATGTAGTTCTGAGCTCTGAAGGCAGACACACAAGAAGACAAAACAGTGGATTAAGAGCCCCCTATTAGCTCAGGTCCCAAAGAAAGAAGGAATAGCTCTTTTATGAGTCACGAGGCTGGGTGGGAAAACCTGAAGAAAACACGTGGAGCTGAAGAACAAATACTTTAGGGGGCAGACACTTCTGCTTTAGTGAATAGATCTTTTCCTTTATGGTGTCCTTGTACTTTCCTGGTTGTCCTTAACAGAATTGTRGATGGGGAAGGGGTGCTCAGTGTGGGTCTCCACTATTTGATCAAAAATACACCTGAAAGGGACAACCAGCTTTAGTCTGGCAGCAAGTAGCTGTCACTGGAGACTGCGAGATTGACCTCAGCATACCCCAGATCCTGAAAGAAGCTCTGAGATCATCTCAGATCTCCCAGCTTTGCTGAGTGTGAATTTATGATGCAGTAGAAGTCACAGAAATATTTATTTTTTCCCAGCAGGTGAACCTTGCACTGTCTTGCTTGTCCCTGATATGTTCAAAGGGAAAAGAGTTTTTCTAGCACCATGTCAGAGATCCCTTCAGGGCTCATGGATGAGGCAGCTGTAGTAAATCTCATTTTGTGACACCAGCCGTGTCTCCTCTTACACACATGCTCAAATCCTCCACCAGTGTAGGCTTTGCATCCCTGAGAAATTATCTCAGCTGCAATTGAGAAGACCTGGTGTGCAAACAGCCCTCTTAGGGAAGGTTCTCCGCATGGAATCAGATAGAAGATTAGTTTGTAGTGCCAGGAGGCCTGGGTGGTTTTGAACCCTTCCCTCCTAGGACAGGAACTTCCCCTGCATTGCAGGGCAAACCCCAGTGCTGACCAACCAACACAAGCCAGAAGTGTCAGTTTGAAGTGACAATAAACAGGCAGWGAGGCCTGCAAGGAAATAGCCATCTTACCTAACTCATGCCTGACCCACAGCACTCAGAKAGCAGATACAAACCAGACAGGACTCTTCCTTGACATCAAAACASTCATTTCATGGTACTCCATGAGTTCAGCAGGGGAGGAGGCTCTGAACAGCCTCTACACACTCTTCAGAAGAGCTGCACAGCAGCATCCAGTGACAGTACTTGAACAAGAGAGACTGTGGATGGGTGACAAGTCAGCATCCACGCACAGTCCCTCAGCCATCCATGTTCTCTTTCTGCTCCCCTTAATTGCCTTGGTGTGTAATGACCTTGCTGGCTGAAAAACTTGGATGAGGCTCTGTAGCATAGAAGTCCTTCCTCACTTTGCAAATAAATGAAGGCAACTTATTTACCCAGAGAGAACATCCTTGGCAATCCTATCAAAACAGGAAGCAGTTGAATTACTGCAAGAAAAATCAAACCATTTACCATGTCATGTTACAGCTCAGAGAATACTGAAAGCTGGCACTGCAGGTTGAGGAAGAAACCTCCCTTCACACACTGGCACAGCATGGAGGGGGGACTCTGATGTACCAGGGCAGGAGCAAACACTGCTGAAAAATAGAGATTTTTTTCAGCTAAATCAATTCCTTGATCCAGCTCATTGCACAAAGATGTTTGCTGGCACCAGGAAAGGGCAGCCTGGAGGTGATAATGTGTCCTCTAACAAGTGCCAGCTTAAAGAGGCAGAGGACTGGCTGCAGTTAATCAATTCCAGCAGGCAGAGCCCAGTTCAAGAGCCAGCCCCAAGCTCTATTGTGCATCCCGCTCACCCCCACTTCCCCGAACTGTTTCAGGTCAGCACTTTCAYTGATCTGCTTGAACAGGCAGGACTATAAATAAAGAGCCATTAATCAACTATTAAAGTACCCTTTTTACTGAAATAAAGAAAACCCAYAGAAATGACACAAGATGGGAAAAATCCAGTGAATACAAAAGTTARTGAATACAAAAGACGATCCAAGAGAGCACTCCTGGAAGCACACTTGAGGCTGAAGTGGCTCAGGAACAGCCGTGCTCAGGGAACAGAGTGTTGAGTCAGACTCTCCAGTGCTCCTGCACTGACTCACTCTGCTCCCAGCTGCCAGCACACGCTGCTCAGTCCATTCAGAATCAACAGCAGTCACTTGTTCAGTGTTGAAGTGCATCTAGATCATCATGAGCCATCAAGCTTCTGCAGTCCACTACCATTCCCTGCATCAGAGACATCCCCTTCCCTATTCAAGTTCTGGGTTTTCCCTTCTTCCCTTGTTTCCCAGCTCTCAGACAGGAACACAACTCAGGATTTAGGATAATGTGCAGATTCCCTGTCAAGGTCACAGGGTCGTACAGGCTACCTCGTTGCAGAGGAAGCTACAAAAGCATCTCCATCTGTCCCTGTTGCCCAGAAAGTTAGTTGTTTTTCCTTTTCCAGACCCAGGGTGGGAATGTGCTGTTTAGCCTGACTCTTGCAAACAATGCTTTTCCAGAGGATGATGCTAAGCTCTCCCAAAACCTAGAACAGGAAAGGACCTAAACACCCTCTATGAATACAACAGAGTGTCTCTTTATTGGGCACTTGCTCTTCACAGAGCCTTAGACAGAAGAATCCCACACACTGCACCTCTGTAAGCCCTGAGTAWGAGCCTTGCTCTTGCAGTTGTCCCTCCCACAGTACCTGCACCTGTGGCACAGCATTGCTCCATCTCCACCAGCAAGAGCTGGCAGATCCGGGATCTGGTGAAAAGCTGTGTTAGGCACACAGGATCCTGTCAGGAAGCAGACCTGCTGCATGACCAATGCAACTGGAGCAGCTGTGACACAAGTCAGTGCAAAGAGCTGGTGAGCTCTTTGAGTTAAGCAGGAGCTTAACCAGCACCTGCCCTGCCGTGKGGCCTCACATCCCAGTCCCATGTGCCAGGAGTCCCCTCTAACCTAAGACACACCAAAGTGATGCTCAGGAAACCCTTCTCTATTTCCCCTGCTCCCACGAATTGCCTGTGTGACCTTGAACTGCACACATCTGTCTGCACAGCTTGAGGGTGTTGTTTCCCTTCCCTCTCTGGTTTTAGCAGTAAAACTGGTTTAAACTCCTTCCTTCCTCCCACCTCCACAGCGCTAAGTCAAGAAATGAGCAAACAGTAGCACAGGGCAAGAACAAAGAAACACTTTGAAAACCGTGGGGCTCRGGAGGTTACACCCTCATTTTCTTCAGCTATGAAACAGGGATGTTACCATGCCTCCATGTTAAGTTATATAAGATACAAAAAATGAGGACAAACATGAAAGATTATGAGATGCTCTGAAGATAATCTTGCTACCACTTGGATTGGTAATTATAAACTCCACAGCTCTCCTATTTTACTTGGTGAAATCACTCGAAACTAAAAAAAAATATTTAAAAAAAAAAGCCTGTGAAATCTGTTTGCAGCTTGACTTAGCACWTGGCAGTGTTAGGAGTGCACCACTGAACAGCTACAGCCAAAGGGAGGAACTCCATTATTGTCCAAGGASAGCTGAAGGATGAACTGAAATGCTGGTATTTCAGAACAGGCTCCCAGCAAGGGATGCAAAGAACAGCAGATGATCAGACAACAGGCACAGGTACCAAATGGCCAAAATCAAAGAACAGCTTTTATTGTCCAAAATAACCAAGAAACCATTTTCTTCCAATAAACAGAACAATCCCCTAACTCAAACAGTGGTAAGCCTTCACTAAGAAACTGAAACACTAACCAACCCCACATAAACTTGACTGTTCCCATYCATCCTCTGAAGTATTCCTCCTCCTAAAGAAGTTAGCTGTTCTCCTTAACCCTCCTGCACCACCAGAAGCAGAAGAATGGCAAAACTCAAAAGTCATTTAGGACAAGAAACAAGCACATGGGGAGGCATGAGTCTGTCCACTTACACAYATGAAAGAGGCTGTTGGTGTTTGCAAACATCTTGCATACAATTACCTGAAAGTAGGAATTTCCCCGTTTGTGAGATACAAACATTTTATTACACAAATTATAGATTTGTGCTTGTTTTTTTTCATCCCAGGWTACAGGTACAGTTGTAGCCTGTACAGGTTGTTACACTCCCTGCAGTTTATCAGTTTATACTTCTCTATTCAGAAAACTTGGAAGTTAAAAAAACAGAAATCGGTTACACTGAGTTCTCAAGGCAAATCATAATTTAAAACTCTGCATTGTGCCAGTAAAACAAATATAAGACAGAGAAAGCAGATGTCTAAAAAAATCTTGCTCTCCCTGGTAACCGAAATCTTGGTGGAAAAAAAAAGAAAATAAGAGAGAGAGAGATATGCCAAGGTGCAAGACAACAGTTCCAATGGAAGAATTCTCAGGAGTATTTTCACTATTTTCTCAGTTATAGGGGATATATTAACAGAAACCATTAAAAAAGAGATCTGATTCATAAATAGTTTGCAAATCTGTTCAACTCACGTCGGTGAAAATTTAAGAAACAAAAAGGAAAAAAAATCAGCCTTAAAAAAAAGTCAGAATTTATACAAAGCATTTCTTTAGAAGATCCCATTTGTCTGCACTGAGCTGTGTTCTGTGCACACATCTCTAAGAGTGTGTGAGCAGAGACAGCCACAGCTCTTCCCTGCTGGAGCAGGGAAGCAACACTACAGAACAAATGGGAACCTCAGCTCATGGGAGTTACTGATGACTTGCTGCTGTGCAGAGAATGGCACTGTGTGTTTGACAGAGGAACTCCACTGGAAACAGAATCTCCTGTCCTAATCTAGACATGATYTTACAAAACATCTAACACCTGTACTACACCTTTTGTAAGAAAATAGAGAGCAGCTTTGAGCTGCAGTTCTTCTAAACTACTGTAGGAAGGCTTCTCTAGGTACTTCCTAAATTGGCAACATCTGAGGTAATCGATGATGCTGTTCAAATGAGCACCCTTCACTTTTCCCCGCCTGCACCAACTGTTGCCTCCTTATTGAGTCCTCTGATTGACAAGTCATAAACCACTTCCTCAATTTTCTTGACATCGTATTTCAGGCCATCGTAGCGTTTCCTCAGGGAGTCATTCTTCAGGTTGAGGAGGCGGAAGCCAGAATCCAGCTCATTGATAAAGGCTGAGATGCGGAGAGGGCGAGAATAGTCCCCAGCTGTGACACTGTTCACTGCCAGCCTGGCCTGGAGAGGAGACACCGCAGAACATCGGCACAGCGCCCACCCACATCACTCACTGTCCCCATCAGTTACTGTACCAAATGAAGCACTTGTGTTCCAGGCAGTCAGATTATTCACACTTAGATTTACCTTTTTGTTGACCATGGTTCAGGATTTTCAGTCATATGACTAGGTTAAATCTTAAAAGTATCACTAAGGAACACGCAGAGAAGCATCTTGCTACAAATTCAGATTAAGGTGCTGTGTATCGTAATTTCCAGCAACAACTTGGGAAAGTTAAAAAACACATTGCTTTTGTTTATAGGGTCAGTTTCAAACCAAATACATGCATGAATATATGTTTTCCTTACCAGCTCACTGGCCAGAGTTAATACACCAGAAAGATAGTCTTCAATGTCCAGGTGAAAGCCCCGTTCTCGATCAGCTTCAACTGAGACAAAAACAAAGCAGTGACCCGGTGGTGCTGAGCATGATCAAACCCAGCCACCTTAAATTGCATTTGTTTACTGGAGCTAATTTGAAATATCAAATATATGAAATACTATTACAAAATAAAAGTCAGCCTTTTCCTGTATGTGATGTAATTACAGCCTCCCCTCAGTTCTTGATTCAGCATCTTGTACATCCTCAAMTGTACATCCAACAGGGTAACTGGATTTACATCAATATACAGGATATATTTTCCTTACCTTTTTTTTCAAATTTTTTGCTCTGTGTGGATACAACTCTTTTACAGCAAAGAATTTAATCTGTTTTACACACTTTTTAAATACCAAACCAAGAAGTTAGAGAACAAGCTCTCACCTTTGTGTTATTTTGGTACATTTACACACTTTGAATGACCTCCACTGATGAAGAACTTATTAATGAATAAATACTTTTTTTCACATTAGGTTTGCCAATTTCCATTTTCTGAAAATGTGTTGTTTATATAATGAAATCAAATACCAGATAAACTCTGTAACTGATTTCTTAGAAAGAAATTAAGTTCTGCTGTTTCCTTGTAGCTCAGAAAGCTACATCTAAGGTCTTTTTCTCTTTTTCTCTTCAGTTATAACATTAACTTACTCCCAAGTATTTCTGCAACAGCCTCTCGGGTCACTAACGTTTCTGACTCCAAGTAGACTACGAAGGCTGCCAGGAACACCAGCCGCTGCAGCACAAACCTCCAGTGCTCATGAAACCTGCAGAAGAAACACCAGGTCAGGGTATAAATAACTAATGTTTGTTACTGGAGCGTTAGGCAACAAGCACTCATTATGTGTATGCTGTGTTTCCTGCCTTTCCACAGTGCATTTTGAAGTATTTTTCATTTATCAAAATGACACCAGCCGAAAAACATCTCCTTGGTACTCCAGAACTCCACATCCAGGTTACCACGCCGGATGCTGACATTTGCTTGCCCCTCTCAYACACCTCCTCAGCTCCCAGAGTTTTCCAGGCTGCGTTGCCCACAGACAGCCAAAGCTTTCCCTCCCAGCAGATCTGACCTGACAAGATTCTTGTTCTTTGAAATGTTCTTGCCAGGCACTGTCCCCTTCTGGCAGCAACAGAACACAAAGGTGACAACTTCATTTAGTGTCTGCAGAACCAAACAGCCATTTCATGACAGATTTAGAGCTCTGCTTCCAGAAACGCCCCAAACTGAACAACTTAACTGAAATTAATGGAGCAGCAAATGCCCTGGTCTCAGATACAAGGACAGCTCCAGCAGAACACCATCTTCTAAGCTTTCCTTTCTAAAGGAAGTTTTTAGAAAATTAATATACTAAGTATTTTTAGTGAAAATTTACAGCAAAAGCTTGTTTGAGCAAAAGCACTTTTTATCTATGCTGATAAAAACCTCACATTTGTCTACCATGATTTGCTTTTCAAAGAGAAAGAAGCATTCAGCCCATAAATCTTTACATCATTATCCCAAAGCAATGATGCCAAATGCAATTCCCATAAATATTTGTGTCATGCTGCATGTAATCCTGCACACCTGTAATACTGATCAGCAGGAAATTTGGTTTTCAGAGACTCCATCTGTGTCCTCACTGTACCAAAGTGCTCACGAGCCTTCTGACACTTCTTTGGGACTGAAAAAGAAACAGCACAGCATTCAGGGAATTAATATATTCAGGAAGTGTATATTCGACAGGCAGCAGAGGTTTGCAAACAGAGTTTTCCAGTGCAGACAGCTCTATTTACACTCCTTTCTTGTCCAAGATAGGCTACTGACACTTGGAAGCAATTTAAGAAGTATTCCTGGTCACACCATGAGCCAGAGGTAAAGGAGAAAGACTCCTGAATTCCAGCTGCCTCACCTGCTCTGGGCCTTCATTTCAAACCAGTGATGTCCTATCAACAACCAGATCSCAAGCAATGGAACAGCACTGCACACAGCAGCTGGCCCCAAAGGAAGCACACACACCACACTAAGAAATGCTGCTGGACACCTCACACAAAGGACAAGCAACTTTTCTTTCTCCATATTAAAATTTTATTTTTTTCTAATCCATCAGAGTTTGGTTTCATGAGGTGCAATATCCCTTCAGAAAACTTAATTTCCTGCTTATTAAAGATGTATTTGAAGAGCCTGGSTTTCAGCCTGTCGAGCGTGTGTTCCAGCTCTGCAGAGGAACCATCTCYTGTTCCTGTAGCAGCCACCGCCACCTCCCGTTTGCCGAGAGAGTCACAGCCCCGCTGCAACTGCAACGCCAGCGACCGAGCCAAGGGCTCAAACCACAACTTCACTGCAGCCCTCCCACAAACCCTGGTCACGGCCAAAAAAAGGCCAAAGATCAACCTGACACTCCCTCCTGCATCTTCCTGTACAGAGCCAGGATTATCCACAGAACCTAAATCTAAAAGCTGTGATGGTTTTTACCAAACAAGAGCTACCAGGAGTCACTTAAGTGTGATTATAAAACTTCCTTMAGTTAATRAAACATAATTTTTTTTAAAAAAGGGAGGGAGAATGACATGTAAAAAATAAAAGCTTCAGGGAGCAGAATGTGGCAATGCTCCATGTGGCAGCCCGGATGAAAGACRTTTGTGAAGCTCACTGAGAGTTACAGTGAGCCCTCACATGGCTGGGGGGACACAGTGAGGAACACATCTGTACTTGGCTTCTGCCAAAGGAACCTGAGACAGAAATAAACACCCCTTACCATAAAGGCTCAGACAATGCCCACTGACACACGCACAACCCTCAGATTCAAAACATCCTTGCACATCCTCTGGTGTCACCTCTGATGTTSTGCTGTTTCCAGAGCAGACACTGAGGTGGCTCTCAGGCTCCAGGGGCCCTGCCTGTCACACCCCAGCTGGTGTKGGACAACAGCGGGTGCAGCACACCCCGCCCTGCCCAGCTTTCTGAGCAGCTCTCCAGCTCCATTTGGGACAAGGAGCCAAGGAAGCTTGTGCAAGGTGACATTTTAAAAGCCACTGGCTGATAGGGGAAACTGTCCTTCATCAAACTTCAAACTAYCCCGTTCTACTAACAGAGCTCACCCCACTCCTTACCCTTCTCTCTGGGAGGACAGATTGCTCAGCCCAGAGCAAACCCTTTCCCTGTTCCCACTGATTCTCTGTTGTCTCMTTGAGTTTTCATCACTCCCTCAATTGAGGATGCAAGAATAAACAAACTATCAACCAGGAGGCTGCAGGAAGAGTAAATCATCTCCCACTTATGCTGGTACAAGRGATGGGGAACAACTGGCAAAACAGCTTCTGCAGGAGCTGCAATTCAGGGCAACACAGCTACAGCTGTTACGCTGTCACCTGTGAACTTGCAGTAATTAACAGAATTTTTATTTTTTTATTATTAATTTATACAGTTTATTCTCATTTAATATTTTTCTAGTTCAATATAGTTTATTAAGAGTGTTAATAGTTTTCCTTAYGTCTTGGGCTGAAAACAATCAGTCAGCTCTGCAAGTGAATAAAAATGCACTTGGGAAGGCTTGTTCTATTCCCCTTCAGARGGTGGCCTGCATAAACTCCTCTCAAGAGTTTCCAGCAAAGTCTGAATGGTTAATTGTTCTCACAAGATATTAACTGACCAGAAAAAAATCCCCAGCTTTTAAGCAAGATATTTAAGTTTATTCCAGTAGTTTCACCAATAAGCTGATAAATAAGGGAGCACAAAGAGCACATTTGACACATGCTCTCATGGCCTGGAGGAAACGGGCTGGCCCAGAAACGTTCTGTACAACACCTCAGAAGCCTGAAACCAGGCTAGCGACAATCCAAACCTCCAAAGCTGCACAACAATTCCTGCTGCTCAAACATACATTAAGGGCAGCTGCTGCTTTTTCAGCCTTTGCAGATTTCTTATGTATTTTGTTCGATTTTATACACGCACATAGAATCTGTCTTTTATAAACCAGATTAAAGTAATTTTTCCCCCCTTCCCAAACCATCCTGAACACCCTGAGCGCTCAGGACCATAGCTTTTTGGGTGTGGGGTTAAGATGTGGTACGGGTTCACTGATACAAAGACCCAACAGGMGATGATAAAACAATCTCTGTGTATGCCACTTACAACGAGACCTAAGAGCCAACTCAGCAGCCCAGGACCAGAATACRTGGAAAAGAACACACTGCTCTGCACCGAGACAGAAAAGCACCATGCTARGGAGGGGACAAAGGGACAGAACTTAGATGCTCCCTCAGGCTGAATGGCAGCTTTACTACTTGTCTGACTTGAAACCTCCCAGCTGCGCCCTGCTCTCCCCAGCAGCGCCCGGAAAGCCCGCGCTGGACGCCCCGGGAGTGACCGGTGCCTGGAAACGGGGCCCAGGTAGAGCAGCCCTACGTGCTCCGAAGGGCACTCCCGCCCCCAGCCGTTCCCCTCTGCCCGGGGGCGGCGGCGCGGCACTCACTGTGCTGGAAGCCGGGTCCCTGGTGCACGCCCTGCAGCAGCGTCAGGATCTCCCGCGCCGTCTGCTCCAGCGCCTGCACCACCTTGCGGATCTCCTGCGGGCACAGCGCTCCGTCAGCCGAGGCACCGCCTCGCCCGCCCCCTCCCGTGCCCGTGCCCGCCCCGGCACCTCTCGGATGTCCTGGTCCTGGCCGAGCGCTCCCTGCAGCGCCGCGAACATCTCGCTCACCGACATGGTGCCGCCGCTTCCCGCCCACGGGGCCTTCCGCACCGCCGGCGCGCCGCCAGCCCGSGAACCGCCGGACCGCGCCGCGCCGGGCTGCCCCGCGCACCGCCTGAGCGGCCGCAGCTGCTAGGATGGGCAGAGGGCGGCTCGGGAGGGTGCCCAGAGCGGGCTGCTCGCCCCGGGGGACAGTTGGTCACTGCAGGGCGGGAGTTGTCGCCCCGATGGTGTCCGTGTCTCAGGAGGCCGAGCCCGGTGGGGCCGCGCCAGGGCCCCTCCGCACCGTTGCCGGGAGACGGCGTCGGGCCGCGCGGCGCCGGCGCGAGGGCGGTGACGCAGTTCCGGCGGGCGCGGGGAGGCAGCATGGCGGCGGAAGCGGCCATGGCGGCAGAGGAGCTCGCAGCGCCCGCGGCTGCCCCGGCTGTGAAGGCGGCGCCGCTCCTGGCGCTGGAGCCGCGATTGCAGCGCCAGTTCCAGCAGAAGGTGCAGCGGGCCCGCAACAAGCGGGCGGACAAGGTAAGTGGGGCGGCCAGGCGGGGCGGCGCGGCGAGTCCCGGCCCAGGCTGACACGGTCGCTCTGTGCCCGCAGGAGGAGCTGACGCCGGGCGTGGTGTTCGTGGGGCATCTCCCACGGGGTCTGTGCGAACCGCAGCTCCGCGAGTACTTCGGGCAGTTYGGGACGGTGACACGGCTGCGCCTCTCCAGGAGTAAGAAGGTGAGGAGCGGCCCCGCCGCGGTTGCGGCCCGTGCGGTACCGGAGTGGGGCGGAGCGCTCGCCGCCGGCTGCCTGAGGCCGGGCCGGTCACTCTCCCTGACCCCCGGGGCCGGGCCGGTCACTCTCCCTGACCCCTGGGGCTCCCCGCTTGCCCTCCATGGCCCCGGTAACGCGCAGAGGCCGCAGCGCCCTGAGGCCCTCGGGGCCGCACGTGGGACGGGCGGGGGCGGTCTCGTACCGACGGCCACGGCTCTTCTCATTTTTTTCTGTAAGTAAATTCACCCCAGTGGGAAGTGTTGCCGGAGCCCACCAGTTCAAGATACAACGTGAAGTGCCACGATTCTGTTTTAACTTACTTGTTGTTTAATAAATCTAATTTTTTTTCTCACTTCTGGGTTTGTTATCACATCATAAGACCTCTGTGTACACATGGAACAGCACCAGTGCAGGGCACCTTTGTGTTTAACGAGTAAATACGGATGAGCAGTTTGTTTCATGTGCAAGTATGTATTCTACAAATAATATACCAATTTAGGACTAAATCTGCTGCTTTTCACGATTTTAGGGAACTTTTTGAAATTACTTGTGGTTAGSTGAGAATGGGCTCTAACTTTGGAAGAATAAAATAATTTTAATAGAGTACCAAAGCATCATTTCGGCTTTCTCTCTTGTCACACAGACTGGAGCCAGCAAAGGCTATGCATTTATGGAGTTTGAGTCTGATGATGTGGCCAAGATTGTGGCAGACACAATGAATAACTACCTGTTTTCTGAGAGACTGTTGAAGTGTAAGTATAAGCTGAATTTTAAGTCCTCTAATATGCAAAGGAAACTTGTAGTTATTTCAGATATCCTTTTGCACTGTGCATAGAACCTTAGGGTTTTTTTATAAAGTTTTGTTCCAGAAATGTTTTCTATGGGGTTGAGCTTGTCGTCATGTGTGAAGAGCATGCTCAGCAACCTTTTGGTCACTACTACTGTTTTTTCTTATGGTCTGATAGTTTTCCTAGCATGATTGTGTAACATGAAATCTCAGGGAATGGTTTGGTTTGCTGTAGAGACAGTTCCTTTCATATGGAAACTCCTCGCCACGTGTAACTGCTGCAGCTGTTGGCTGTAAGGTTTGACATAAGGGCCTTTTTTTAATTAAAATGTTGATGAAATCACTGAGTTTCTCAGAYACGGTTACATTAAAATTTTCTTTGTAAAGGGTTATGAGGTACACGTTGTAAAACAATAAACAGACGCTGTTGGGTGAGGGGGAGCTCTGCTGTAACCCCATGTCCTGTGTTTGGTACAGGTCAGTTCGTGCCTCCTGAAAAGGTCCATGAAAACCTCTTCAARGACTGCAAGAAGATGTTTCGGAAGCCTTCCCAGCCGGCTGTCCGGCGCTACAACAAGGTCCGCTCCCTCGTGGAGAAGGCCAAGATGACAAAGCGCCTGCTGCGCAAGGAGAGGCTTTTGCGGAAGAAGCTGGCTGAAAAGGGSCTCGAGTATGACTTCCCAGGATTTGTAAGTTTGGCATCTTTTCAATCAGTGTGTTAGTCAAGATGTGTTTCTAGGGTTGTGCAGAATACATGGACATGATGTGTTTTGTGTGGAGCTGGAGCCCAGGGAGGCTCAGTTGTGTTAGGAACTGTAGAGAAGCTCCAGGAATTCAGCGTGGTGCTGTTGCTGGGCTGCACTTCRTGTGCTTGTGGATTTACTTGTGGAGAAGTAAGTAAGTAACCACAAAGGGGAGATGTTCCTTTTCTTCTGTTGGTACAAGCAGTTGGGTATTCTGTGGTTWAATGCTGGAGTTCAGATTCCCAAAGAGCAGAGGGGCTTTGCCTGAGCCCTGTGGGAGGCGGGCAGAGCAGGGGTTTGAAGGCAGTTCCCAAGACCAGAACTTCCGTCCACAGCCCCTGCATGTTCCTCTGCAGGGTGCTTGGGTCAAGTACTTGAGTTGTTTAATGCTGTTTGCTTAATGCTGTTTACCATGCATTGTTTTTAAAATGCAGTAACACCTTTTCTTGTGTTGCTTTGGGTGTTTTTGTTGAAACCAAATCACCTCTGTGTCAGTCAGTTTACYACTTTAAACCTATTTGCTGTAGCAATGATGTAATTACGAAATGAAGAAAGCTATGAACTGTTAAGTGACTGCATCTTCACACAAATGTGTAGTCATCCACCTGGTGTCTTGCTTCCTAGGCTGCACAGGCACTTTGCAAAAAGAGAAAAAGAATGAAAACATCCAAGAAATCAAAACTGAACGTTTCTTTGAGTAGCCAGGTAAGACAGACCAGTCCTGATGGTGTCCAGTATCACTCTCTGCCATTCACCCTAGGGCAGATCTTTGAGGTCTTCAGCTGTCACCTTCATACTGGTTTCAACACACAAAAACCTTGACATGGTTTGCTTGGAGATGTTTGTGTCAGAAGTAGCTCCTTTGAGATGTAATAACACTCTTGAATGCAGGGAGGGGGGGTGATTGAATCCTTGTGATTCTTTCTCCTGTGGGAGTATTCAGCAGCAAGGGCTTCTGCTCAGCATGTTGAACCCAGCAGTGCCTGTCCCTCGGTGTGTCTCCTGTCAGCCTCTGCTGTTCGGCACTCCCTTGAGGCTGGGGGAGTGCAGGGTGCTGGGGACAGGCATCTGTGCACCACCTACATCTGTGCTTTAAACTGACACAACATGATCTCCTTGATGGAATCCTGTTGGACCATGTTACAGTGCCAGCCTGTTTTGATCTAAAGGAAGTTGAATTGTTAATACAGTCTAGTGCTGTCTGTCCCCATTTCCATACTGTATTGTCCCTCCTACTCKGTGCTCTCCAGGCCTGGTATTTGATGTTTTGGTAAAAAAATGCCATGTAAAAGTAGCAGTAGCATGAAAGGGCAGTTCAGGTCATCTGGACTGAGATTTGAGATACTGACAGTCAAAAAGTCTGTAAGGCATTAACATTTCTGTTCTGTTTCATCACTGTTGTGAGTTTGGCAGAGAGGTTGTTTGTTAGGGGCTTTTTATTATTACTGAATTTACTTGTGATAATTGGGGCATGGCTGGTTGTTAGGAAGACAGGATAGCACATTCTGTCAGCTGAGTTCTGAGGACTTACTGAGGTAATGAAGCTGGGATGTTTCAGCTCTGCTGTGAAATTGAATGTGGTATTTCTGTATGCTGGTCTGAAATACACCTCCCCCACCTGTTGGCCTGATTCTCTTCCACTTGACTTTCTTGATGCTTTGGWCAGGAAATACAAAGTTTAGAAAGTAAATGTGCATATTAACATATTAGAAAATGTGAAATAATTTCCATTTGCCTTTCATATACTTCTTCAAAGGTGACACTTTTATCCAAAGAAACAATGTCTACAAAAGTAGCTAGTTAGAAAATAATTTTTTGAAGAAGAGCTGGGCTGAGGTGTCTTGTGGTACCTCAGGGGCAGTGACAACTTTCTGGCAGATGGCTTTGCAGTGAATCCTGTTTTTCTGATCTCTTCAGGCTCCTACTCCAGTCTGTACTCCAGCAGTGCTCGAGCGCCGGAAAGCTGCTCAGGTGGATGATGAAACAGAGGATGAAGTAACTCTCAAGCTTCCCTCTGCCAGTGCTAAGARTGCTGTGCAGAGACCAAAGAAGCAGCCAAGGCAAAGACCAAACCTGAAGAAACAGAAATAAGACTTAAAATTTTAGTGGCTGTAGCCATATTTTTCCTCAGCTTAAAAACTGTTGAGGTGGAGCTTCTACCAGTTCTGCTGCCCTCTGGGCTTGGTTCATCCTGCCTAGACTGTTTCAGTTTTTCCTAGGCAAGGACTCTGCTCACAAATCCTCTCCATCTGGTTTAACCATCAAGGGACCTACTGTCCTCTGTGCTTTTGAAGATCTTGACTTTGTGCTCACAAGTGCCCATACTGTGACACAGCTACAGTTGTCCCAAAATCTTCAGTTAATTTTGTAACTTGTATCTAGAGCTCAYTATTTGAAAAGAAAATGTGAGGCAGTCCATTCAGAACTTGCTGATGCAAGCAACTGTATCTTAAATTTATGACAGGTTATTAAAAAAATCAYCACTTTTTAACTTTTTTGGCTCTTGGTAATGGTTCTTCTGTTTAACTGAATGTCTGTGTTTTGTGTGAGTTCTCATTTATTTACTGTGATTGAGGCTCTCAAGACGATGCACCAATAATCAGAGCAGTCTGGGTTCTACTGGCAGTTCTGTTGTCCTTTGTCACTGCATTTTAGTTTCACTGCCTGCATGAAACAAGGATATCTTCTGCTCCAAGGGGTGATAAGCACATTGAAATATTGTAATAAACAGGAATGCAAAGGCAGATTTTTAACAGCAGTAGTATGAATTCAGAGAATTGAGTGTAGCTTTTTGTTGTGCATTAAGATTTGTTCTTGTTCCAGCTAGCCTGTCATTGCAGATGGCAGATATCCAATCCTGTTTGAAAAGCAGTTTGACTGTGCAGTTAGAATTTGGATTTTTTTGCAAATCTGAGCTCTSTAGAAATCCCAGTTCGGGTTCTGTGCACGTACTTCACCTTCATATTTTATTGTCTGAGATTAAACGCGCAAATGCGGTTGGCTGCTGGTCAGGCTTGGCAGAATTTCAGAGGAAAGCCCAGGTGATAATAAACAGCTAGGTAGGTTGCTGGCASTAATTCCTTGGCTATTTTAAAACTTGGAGTCCTGGCAGTGAAAAAGGAACCTAAAATAAACCATTGRCCTTGCTGATCCTGATCTATCTGGYCTGATCACTGGAAYAATCATGGGATCATAATGACATTGTCTTGGTGACTCAAATTAGATMATTCTCCTTTGTTGAGAAGGCCCCTTGGATGAGTGAATCTGTATATCAAACATTTCTGACCTTGGGCAGGCCAGGGAATCTCTTCACCACCCCAATGGTCACAGACAGTCCTTGCCTTTAACGGAAGTGCTGCTGCACACATCTGCAGGCTCTCTTCCCTGGGCCTTGTTGATGAGAAACAGGCAGTGCTTGCACCCCAACCCRTGGGAAATAATGCTCAGCTAAGGTTTGAGATACGCATGATCACAGTGGTTGTCAGAATTTGCTTATTTCTTCATAAGTGATGTGTGGCTCTTGAAAAACTTCCACCTTGATGTCACACAGCAGAGAGCAGCAGAAAAGATGCAAAATGCATCTGCCCAGAAGAGACAGTTTTGTTTTAAAATCCATGTTCCTAACTTTGTGTTGGGCAGATAAAGGTGGCTGTTAGGTCAGGATGAACTAGAAATGTGGCTGCATTTCTCCTGGTGGGAGCGGAATCTCCCGGGCGCAGCCTGACACCGGGGGGCAGCACGACTCAGCTGTGTGGACATTCTGCAGCACAAGGATTCCCAGGGTTTGTAAAGAAACGGCTCTCCAGGCAGTGAGGGCTGAGTGGCTGCATTGGTGTGACTCACGCGTCTCTAACGGCTTGAAAATACATGAGAAACCTGATATGATCTTAACCAAAAACGCCCATTTCTGTGGTGCTGTCACAAGTGCTCCTTCCTAAGTTGTTGAGTCAAAGCTGCTCTGAGAAAAAAACTCAGTTTATCTGAGTAACATGTCCGGTGCAGTTCCATGTTCCCTTGAAGCCTGAATGTCTCCATTGCTGTGYTTCCCATTCCAACACCTTGGCCTGCATTTCGAACCTGGAGTTGCTTTCTTCCTACTCTGATTCTGTTGCTGTGCTCCTCTCTGTAYCCAGTGTTCTTTCCCTGTCTGTGTCCACTTGCTGCTTTCTTCCATGTTTGACTCAGTAGCTTCTTCTCATGTTCCTTGCAGTGCCAGGGCTATCCTGCCTGGCTGCAGGAGCTGCTGCACGTCCCCTGCACGAGGGACTTTGGCTTCTGCAGGTCTTTTGGAAAGGTTTGTGCCTTTAAGCTAAACCCCTGGCTGCTGCTGGCTCTCCAGAGTCACAGAGCAATGTGAGCTTTGATGGGAAGACGTTCAAGAAAACTGCTTACAATAAGYGTTGCTTCCTGTGGTAATTTTCCTTTGCCTTCCTTTTGTTTGTTCATCTTCCTTCAATTGAGATCAGCTTAGATGGCAATTCTGAAAAGCAAGGAAGGAAAATTCTGTGTTGCTTGAAGAAAGCACAACAATACCCAGGCTACAGCAAGAAACTCTCCGCAGAAGGGCAGCTTTTCTTGGTGATAGTTTCTGTTTTTAGGCTGCCTGTGTTATTAATACACTGCTGTCCAGGGAGATGTACGTAAGCAGAAATTCAGACATCTGATACTTGCCAAACATAGTTTCCATAGCAAGTGGACAGATGTGCTGTGTCATGAGTTATGCCCCAGTCCCTGCACTGAGTCTTATTTCTCATCTCTCCAGTCATTTGTAAATCTTGGACAAACACAAACCTCCTGGCCACTGATTTTAGGGCAGGCTCAAAGTTGTTTTTCCTGGGATGGTAGGAGTGTTGGGGCTATGGTTTCAAGGCATGGCTTGCAAGTGCTCTGCCTTTCAGTTAAGAATGACTCGGTGGAGCTGTTTTGCTGAACACTCATGTATGTATTACTGCTTTCAAGCAGTAAGAGAAACTTAAATGCTAGCCAAGCCTGCTAGTCTACACTCATTTATGACATTATTACAATTTCTCTGATTTGCAGGAGGGAGTTGGGTTTTAGAGTGCTCACCACTTCCTGGCACATGAAGTACTGGAAGTAAAAGAATGGGAGGTAGGGGCGAGAAAAGCAGAATTGCCTGACGGAGGAGAAAGGAATGATGAAGCCAATGCTCGCCTCTCAATAAAAAGATATTGGTGAATGTGGCATGGTTAGACTGCCCAAAATTAAAGATGCAGTTTTATGTTTTCCTACTTGTTTTGCCTGTTAGATGTGCTGTGGGATGCAGGGAGCATAAGGAGGGTGCTGCCATCACAGTCCAAGKGCTGGTGCTTGTTCATGAGGCAAGTGGAGGAGGAGAGCAGGCCGGGCAAGTGACACTTGCTCTTGCCAGTGCCAAGCCTGTTCGCTCGCATACCTGGCTTTGAGAATGGCTGCAGCCCCGAGGAGCAAGGCTGAAACCTGTCTGCAAATGGCTCAGGGTGCAAGGGAGGACTTGGGCATGGCAGGTGAAAGCTAAGCAAGCAGGTATACAGGAATGTCATCTCCATTATGTGTTTTCCAGGAATACCCAGAAATCCTCTTGGACCAGACTCCTTCATTGTCSAAGATGCTGTTCAAACACATTCTTTTTTCCTGAATTCAGGAAATCTAGCCCCTAAATTCTTGAAATGTCTAGCTCTAGCAGCAATGATCTGCACTTCTTAGCCAGAGGTATGCTGAGGACCACCCCAGGGTGCTGCTGGAACGGTGGGGAGGCCCTTCTGTGTCAGGCTGCTGCTGCCACTGCTAATTCAGGCACATCCCTCCTTGCCCAAGGGCAGCAGCTGACAGAGCAAGCTGAGGAAATGGTTAACTGTGAGTGAGAATTCCTGAAGTGAAACACTTTCTTCCATGCTGGGTGCAGCAAGGCCTCTCACCACTTTTTCCACCCAGCATTAATTAAGCATTTGGCAGGGACAGAGATCTTGGCTGTCCTGGGAGGCTCGGAGCAGTTACACACCTGCGTGTCTGTGGCCAGTAGCCGTGTGGTTCTCCTGTACTGGGAAAAGAAAAGGAGAGGCTCCTACTCGAGTCTTGGCTCTGATCAGGGAAGAAAATGCTGGTTTATAATTGACTTCAAACGTGTTATTGAAGAGAGGCAGAATTATGAGGACTAGCTGTGCAGGACTTTGAGGCAGCAAGGTGGGTGTCTGCAATGAGCCACAACCACTGGGGTCACTTCCTTTCCCTGTCTGCTCATTTGACCCATCATGTGGAGTCTGGGGCTTGGCCTGGGTTTGAAACTTGTTTTAAAGAACAGAAAGGAAAAAAACCAAATAAATCTAATTTTTATGATAGTGATTTTGGAAAGCCCTGTTGTTTTCTGTGTGTTTTTCCAGTGAGCAGGTGCAGACCTGGAAATCAGGCTGCTTGCTCTGCAGTGAGGCATTGCTGCCAGTTTCCCACAAGGGCTTGCACAAACCCCAGTGTGCTGGTGTACTGTTTTTTATTTTTAAACAAGCAGGAAAGGAGTTACTTCTGTCAGGGTGGCTTCAYAAGGCTGACAGCATTGCAGCATTTTGAGGGTGAAGGCAGGATTTGCCTCTCTGCTGTGCTTGCTCAGTTACTGTTTCTCACAGACAGAGCCACGCAGGGGGAAGTGAGCAGCATCTGTGCCAGCTGTGCAGGAGCAGCAGCACTTTGTCACCTGCAGTATTTTTATTTCTGTTGATGTGAGAGCTGGAAGGGCTCTGCTGTGATTTTCAGGTGCTGGGCTGTATTTGCAGGTAGAAGAGGGCCTGTTAGAAGAGGGCCTGTTAGAAGAGGGCTGGGTTCATCTGCCTGAAATAGATGGCAGAGGAAATATAAGACAAATCAATCAAGTTTTCCTTCAGCTATCCCACACAAAGATGTAATGTTTGTGGTTTATTAAAGTGTGTTCTRTTGAACTTATCCTTAAAGACAAATTCCAGGTTTGGAGCTGCTGGAGCTTTGTGATTGGTCTGGCAGGAGCTATGCAAGTGCAAGGGACTGGTTCCAGAGGCAGTATGGATTCTYCTAAGGCAAAGCTGTCCGTTGGTGTAATGTCAGTGCATCCATATCAGATCAATCACAGCCTAAGTTTTTACCCTGAGAACTACTACCTCAGCATTTTTTCCCCATCAGCTCATAATTTTACCAGATGAAATCCTGCTGTGTTAATAAATAGTACAGAATCAACCAGTTGGTTGTTAAGACTTATTTGGAGTTAGTGATTTGGACAATTTKGTTTGGGTAGGCTGCAGGTGTATGTTTGCCATTCAATGTCAGCCCTCCCATTGCATTCTGTAAGAGCTTCCATTAATTTCAGTAGAAATCTGCATTTGGKGTGAAGGGTGACCTAATCTTTAAAAAGGATCTTAATCCACTTAGCCTCTCTTGCAAAGCTCAGCATTTTTTCCTTGTCAGGAGCAGACTGCATTCCTAACCTTGATGTGTCACTTTCCAGTTGGCTTAATATTTGGGTGAGGATAAAAAG